CCCCTCGTATTCCCGGGGCTTAAGGACAATAGTATTTTACAAGCTTTTTACATTGTACATGCACACACAACTCATGAAATTGTATTAAATACAGTTTATAAGATACCCTTTACTCTCCCTGTACACAGTTGGATTCTTTCTTTAGCAGGAAGATGACAAAAAGTCCTAGAAAGTATGACACCATCATTCAAGTTCTTGAACTTTACTTCTTTTTAAGTGTTTTTAACAATTCAACATGGTAGGATGCTATAAAAGCAAGGAGCTTACTAAATTTAGCATTTCACATCTTTGATTTTATTTTGTGTAGTCTCCCTTCAGTATTTTTTTTGTATTCCTTTTTTAGTCTTTTTCTCCTTTTAGGTGTTTTTTTTTTTCAGCTCTAAGTTGATAAATACATATATTCTGCGGTAACTACACAAAAGGTTTTTGCTCTCTGGCTTCTTTTTCACCCAACTGACTAGAAGCTTCTGCTTATATTCCTTTGGACTCAGCTGCATGACAGCAGCCTTGAAGATGCTTTTTGTGATACCAAATTACTGAATTTTATACCTGAAGGCAGTAATTACAACATACTGGTGTTTGCAGATGTGTGGAGTTGGCTGTTCTCCAAAACAGTTACCAGAAGCTTCTGCTGTTGCTGCAACTTGTGTGACACATGTTTTCAAACGCTAGTGGCATCTCCATCTCAGTTGTGGCTTAGATATGACATTCTTGCCTGTTATTTTGTTTTCTTCCTGTGCTTTTCTTTTTCTCTTTTATGTTTGGTTTTTTATTTTGTGGCAGGAGAGGGGAGGTTGTTTGGTTTGGTTTAGTTTTTTGTTTGGGGTTTGGGGTTTTTTTTTGCTTTTCTTAATACATTAGTGTATGTGGCAGTTCCTGAACGCCATTTGAGAACTTAATTGTAGCCTAGGGTAGTGACCAATAGCGTTGTTTACACCTCCTTGGTGTTACTTGGAGTAATGTCCCTGTTGCAGATTAGAGGGACTTGAAGGCTGCAGTAGTGACTGGAAACCCTTGAGAGCCATTTCAGCACCTGGAAATTACTGTGGGATGGATCCACTCTGGTAATACCCTTCTTCCTCAGTCAGATCAGCTTTGAGAGATTGGTTTCTCTTAGACAGACTTTGCAACATCTTAAGCAAGATCAGGCCCTGAAATGCCAGATATATTATTTGAAGAGTACCCTACATCCTTTCGCACAGAGAGGACTCTAGGAAATAATATCTTTTGCCCTTCTGTCTTCTTTCTACCCGATAGCTAAAGTTATTGCTGCAATCTTATATCACGTTACATATCTTTTGGCATATTGTTCCAGCTTAATTATTTCTTTCTATTTTTACCCTGACTATTTTTCTGAAGAGTCATATGCCTATAATCCTTAGATAGAAGAAGTGCTCTTGTACTCTGTGCATTGCTGACAACCCTCTCCCTCTCTGCTAGCTGGGGTAAGCAAGGAAGTATTTGATTCATTGGCATGACACCTATCCTGTCCCCTCTGCTGAACTCTGAGACAAATAACGAATCCGTCTTGCTAAGAATTTAGTGTGGAGATCCATTAAAGGTTTTCAAGTATGAAGATACAGAACTTTGAATTGACACAAGTCTGAGGTAGCAGGCAGAAATGTCTCAGTCTTCAACATGCAAAGAATTCATTTTTCATCTACAGAAGACGAGTGCTACACCAACCAATTCAAAATCTATGTTCACTGGTTTTAATTTAGTGTACATATTTTGAACGCATTACTGTTTGTGATGTATGTGCTGCAATACCGTTAGGAGAAGGTGAAGAAGTTGTTTCCAAGAAGTCAAGGAAAGAGAGCTACTAGCCATAAGAAATGTAAGTCCACAGTGGTTCCTCCCTAAGCCATGGTCATTTCAGCAACTCGTAACAATGAAGTAAAACTAGGTCAGAGACTAAATGTTAGCTGTTCTTATGAATTGCAAAGGATGTAGCGAAACAACATGTGACAAAAAGTGCCTACTGCTTGAGTTCATGTCTTTCAGAATACCTGGTACTTAATGATGTGTGTGTGTGAGACTTGGAAAAAAAGTAGTGAAAAGCTGTGCCTGTTTAATTTGTTTTCATTAAAACATTTGACAGATTTTCTTTATTGTCTTCATACATCTGAGTAGAATTTTTTGTGGACAAATATGACATTGGTGATGGAGAGGGAGAAGTTTAGTAACTGGCACAAAAGTGAGAATATTTAAATATTTCTTTTTAATGGTAGAATTTTTGTGGTAAACTGAAGTACTAAATCTTGGTCCAAAACAATGTAAAATTTTTTAGGATTGTCCTTGAACATCACTATCTTACCATTCTCTACAATGCTATATGGACCTTTATTGATACTTAAATTCATCAAAACATTAGTTGTTCTTCCCAATCGTTTATATATTTTCCTGCCTGTAGAACTGCGCAGTGTTTGTATCCATAGATCATCAAGAACCTTAAGAACTATTTGAATTTTACTAGATGAAGTCATTTGTTGCAGTTCCACTTGGGTTCAGTTGCTTAAAGAGTAGGTTTAAGTACTTCCACAAGTATGTGTAAGCATAATACATAGGTACATAAATATTTAGAGTATATAAATCTTCTTGGAAGACAGAGTTGTACAAAAGAGGTTCCTGTAGTTATTCCGTGCAATGAACTAACAAGTCAGTTAAGAATAGATGCAGTAGCTCTTAAATTAAAGTCTGCTTTGATGCCTGCTTAGGAAACAATGCCTCCCAAAAAAAATTCATGACATAAAATTTCAGAGAAGAATCCTAGACCTACTCTGTGAGGCTTTTATTAACTAAACTTGAGACCTACCTAGATCCAGACCTTCTCAAAAATCTGAAGCAGCTACTGACTTCAGGGGCAGAACAGACCAAGAAATAAGGACTGTAATTGTCAGGCATTAGAAACAATGCAAGTCATATTTTGAAAAGTGAAATTGCAACTTTATATGAGTAAGCCTCTTTCTCTCCTTAATGCAGTGGGTTATTTGTTTCAGTGTTTTTAATAAAATTTCATTTCTATACAAAAAATAAGTTTTAATGTATTTTTATAAACTGCATAGAGAGGTGAACCCACTAGGAAGAGAGAGGACAAGCAGACTTCCATCCTGCTTGAAAGGAGCAGATGTTATGCCAATAAGACACTATTATATACTAGTATTAGTAGTATGATTGTACATTAAGATATGGTTGACTTGAGGACACTGCTGATTTCCCTTTTATGAGCTGTTCAACTGTAAATAAAGTTAAGGTTTCATTTGCTGAATGAGGTAAGCCAAATTCAAGGTGCTCACTAGAGTGTGCTGCACTCCATACAATGCACTTGGTTGACCTTTGTGGAAATTATTGAAATTCTAATTTCCTCACACTTTCACTGCTTTACAAGGGCCTGCATGTTTACATCCTTCACCACATGCACAACCCTTTTTTCTTTCTTTCTTATCGGAGAATCTCACCATCAGAGGGAGGGCATGAAGAAACCTCCCTCTTCTATCACACATAATTTCAAATGCCGTTTTTATTAAAGTAATCTTTTCACAATTGTCACTGAACTTTGTTCTGCAGTTTGTAAACCCTCTGTATTTTAAATCGCTTTCTAGTACCTATTTTGAATGAATGTTTATGTAGGTTACATTATTTCAGCTTTCATCTTATTCTAAGATGTGGAAGGTTCTGTGAAATTTTTTTAATGCAAGATCAGAGGAAAAATTCATTACTCACTATTGGTGAAACACAATTCTTTTGCTAGCTATTGCTACTATTAATACATGCATTACTAGCGTTGGTGATCACTAGCATTTTAGTTTATAATGCAGAGCTGATATACACCATTCATTTGTAAAACAGTGATTTTGATCATAGAGTTTTATGAGATGGTTATGCAAATGGTCTCTAGGTACAGCTGACTAGATCATACCTGTGTAGGTAAGTTTGTTTCTTTTCAAAGAGACCCTGAAGACTGGGTTTAAATGTGCAACAACTCATTTGTCATCAGAGATTGTGCGTGGGAAGTCCCAGCAGAATCCCTTCCTTTCTGTCTCCCTTGTCTCCATTGGCAGTGTCACAAACAGAAGTGAGCTTCTCTTTCACGATATAGAGAGTCAGTCTTTTCGGTCCCTGTCTTCACAGTCAAAGCGTACTTTTAGCTCTTCATGTTCTTCTGGAGTTATAGGTACACTTGCTTGCCAAAATGATCCTCTTCATCATATGTTTAGTCAGATGTTTGTGCCTTTTTCCTATAGATCTCACACTTGCCACTGATCTTCCAGCTTTTTAGATTTCTACTTTTTTATCACACTTTGGGATGGAATAAGTAGAGATGTTAAATGTGTTTGGGGTACCACCATTTGTTTATCACAAGGGACTGGCCTTGTTTGTGGGCTATGAAGTAGCATGGTAGTAGCCAGAGATTTACTGTGTAAGCATGGAGTTAAATATGGAGGGATAGGAGGAGCGCAATATTGAATTAATATGGTTAATAGAATCACCAAAGGTCTAAATATTTATGACATAAACTTGAAATCTATGCCCTCACAGATTAAATCTTGTATTGCATTTTACTGTATTATTATGAAAAAGTTAATGGAAAGATTTGTGAATTGTTACGCTGTTACTTACCTCTCCACTCTCCCAAGAACATTTTTGTTTTCTAGTTCAGGGTTCCTGTCTTTCCCTGTTCTCCAGTGGGAAGTATAGATGTGTGATTATATGATCTATATATTTTTCTTCACTGTTGATGCGTTAAGTTGTTTATATTCTGCATTCACAATTACTGTAACAAAGTTTTAAGTATTATATCATGATAGATGCATTCACTAAGAATCTCTAAGTTTATTTAGTTCTGCTAAACATTGTGGAATAATATGCTGAATGCTATGTGGAAGTATTTAAGCTGGATGCTTGAGGTGTGAGCATGGCACAAGCCATATGCCCAATGACTCAATGCAGTATTGGCAAGCTAAGCTGAATTATTTAACAGTATTTCTTTTTTTTCATAGCCTTTCATGTCCCCTCGGTACCCTGGAGGTCCAAGGCCGCCTTTAAGAATACCCAATCAGGTAAGATTTTATCGCTGAGGTACCATTGTTGCCCAGGCTGATGGTGCAGAGGTGTGAACAGGCAATATTGTCTTGTTGGCTACCAATGGCTCGTTAGCTACAAAACTCGCTCAGTCCCTCTCCACCCTATTTTGTTTGACCATTAAATAGTTACTTTGATAAGGTGTGGCCATGCCACTTCCCAGCTCACTTTCCTATGCTTACTATCTACACCTCAAAATTTATTGCATGTTAAGCCTGTTTGCAGAGGGAGGATACAGTTACCTTGTGTGGTGCGGCATTAACCTCAGCCAACCAATGCTGCCTGCTCTGAGATGAAGACAGAATGTCCCCATAACTCTTACACTCTAAAGTTTCTTAACCACATCAAGCAGTTAGCTCTGAGAATTTTTTTTCTTAATTCTATGTAAAATGCTCCCTCCTATTCTTTGTTGGATATATGAAATGTATGTATTTCATAGTAAATATGGAGATTATTGGTGAGAAACAGATATCATAGAAAGCTCTGTGGTATTATAGACAGTCTGAGGACTTTACAAAAGCATTGAATTCCCAATTTTCTCTGATCTCCATCAAAGGATGTGCATGCCAGTGTAACAAGAATGGGTAATGAGCTGCTGTTCATCAGCGGAGACCTTTATTGGCCCATCTGTGAAAAGATGGTTCTGAAAGCAGATAACATTTGTATTTTTAAGTTCTCCATAGTGCAGATAGAGGAGGAGAAAGCAGTTGTCAGCAGATGAAAAGTTAAAGATAAGCAGAGAGAAAGAGCTCTGAAAGAAAAACTAGGTCGTTTACATTATTGGAAAAGGTTGATGGGATAGATCGAATGGGTGTTTTGATCCAGCTAGACTTCCAGGACTGCCTTTCTTGTTGTCACAGCTTGGTGAGGAGACTTTTATGCCCAAACCTCAGTTCTGGCTGTTTTTTATAGCTGCGTAACACAATGTCAACAAACTTGTCTTTAGCACTGGCACAGTATTGCCAGAAAGTATGAAATTCGAATTTTAGTGAGCTGGATATGTCAGGTGTCAAGACTACTTTAGGTATTCTACATCAAACATGGTGATGCTTGACAGCAGGTTAAGTTACCTGTACCATAGCTACTTTCTCACAAGGGCAACAGGGGATTTAATTAAGCTTGCTGAAGTGATCATCAAGGGGCAACGTAAGATTACAGTGTCATTAGCACTTAAATATTTGCTACAGACATGCTGTAACTCAGTACAAAATATCTTCCTGATTTTTGCACCTTTCAGTAAGATCTTAGCCAAAGACACACCAGTGTTTGGGTTTCCCATATGCCTTTGTTTCTCTTTCTGTCTTTCTGAACACTGTAAATACTGGCAGGTAGAAACTGGGTATGTGCTGTAAAAGTGGTGCCAACCTGCAGTTTCAGTTTCAGAAGTGTTTTTGTCTGTACGTTGTGATATTTTCAATTCAGAGCTGTAACATCGTCACATAATCTCAGTGAATTACAGCTCTTGCAATTCATTTGTTTTGCTGTGTTCATGAATGACTGCTTTTAACAACACTGCTGTTATTTATGTTACAGTATAGATGGGCAGTGTATGGAAGTAATAAACTATTGTAGTGCAACTTTAAGGCTGAAATTTTGATTAGACAGAAGTCAGTAAAAATTGGAGTTAAAATTCCCACTGTAACTATAACACTATTCCTTAACACCTTGCAGTAAATGTTGTGTTTGTTAGGCAAGGAAGGGTAACACAGGGCATGTATGCACAGCACCTTCCAGTGCTGTGTGAGGGTTATCTGAGCTAGATCTAGACTTTGTAGCAAGGAAAGTTAGTACCTACCGAGTGCCACGCGAGTGCCCCTAAGTTGCCTCCAGTACTCAATCACGTCCTACGAGATCAAACCCTACAGGGCTATTTGCTGTTGGCAGTGCATTGTGCTGTGCAGGTACACTCGTTATTCTTGGAGGGTGGTATGACATGTTAAAAAGGAGCTGCAGTTCCTCATGTAATGATCCGCGATGTAATGACTGCATGAGTTAAGTCTTTGGTCATGTGTGCTCATGCAGCAAATGCCTCCATGTCCTTGCGTGTCACCTGCCATCACTGACAGAAGTGACCAGTTCCTGCTTTGCTAGTGTTTGACACTTCTCCATGCACTTCATGTATTGTTCTTATGTACCATCCAGACTTCAAGCCACTGAAGTACTTGTAAAACTCTCATTTATATGATGTCATCTCAGATTATTTGTTTATTCCCTTAAGCCTGTAGTGCATTACCTTTTGACTGTATTACCTTTGAGGAAATAACTTGTATCTTAATTTTGAATTTCCTACATCTTGTGGAAACAAACTGTATAATACTTGCAGATAGGTTACCCTTTATATGTATCCAAGACTACTACAGTATTTCCAGGTCAAGAGTAACTTATCCATTCCCACAGTAAGCAATACCTGAGTAGATCACTTTCATAATAACAGATTTACTCATTCTGAATACATTTTTACTGAAAATGTAGTGGTGTTTTGAAGTGCACCTAGTGGATCAGCTACAAAGATCCATTCGTAACGACATTTTTCTAGTTGACTAAACTATAGGTAAGAGACTGTAGAAATTAGCCTTAAACCTAATTCAGTTACTGTAAACCCAAAGGGCAGATTAAAATGTGGGGACATAAAAGTGAAGTGTTTGATTTAGACCAGAGATGAAGTAACAACAAAATGTACCTTCATGGCTAAAGGCAAGATTTAGGAGCAAGTTTTGTGACTGTTGTTATCTCCCTTAGATGAATAATAAGCTTATCTTGGCATTGATGCCCTTCAAGAGTAAGGCAGAGTGGAAGATAAGATGTCCCCCACATCACAGCCCTAATTAACCATACCCTGTGAATCCTGTGTGGTTGGCTCTGTTACAGTGCACTCAGAAAGTATTGGTGTCCGCATCCTGACCCCTGAAAGGAAATGTTAAAATAATTATGAAAAGGGAAAACTGTAGCAATATAAACCTTGGATAAATTGCCATGTACCTAAGAAAAAGGCAGTGTTTGGAGGTTGGAGGTTAAATAATAGGTAAACTACAGTGAAGGAAGTATTGGGGGGGGGGGGGGGAGCAAATGAAGCAATAATTATATTTTGGAGATTATTTATACGTAATTCCACAGAAGTCCAAGAATTTCTCCGTGCAAATCCATAGTCAGGGTCATAGGACATTCAGGACTTTTAGTTTAGTTAGGCACTTAGGACATGTAGCTAGAGTGTTTAGGAAAGTTAACTCTTCCACATTACTCTTGACTCAGAAGAAACATCAGAGAGTTAAAAAGAAAATATCTGCATTATGCCTCTGACACAAATTTCAAAGCATTATATGCTTTTAACATACGATTTCTGTGCCTGCAGGCACTCGGAGGTGTCCCAGGAAGTCAGCCATTATTGCCTAGCGGGATGGACCCAACACGACAGCAAGGTGAATGAAACGCTTATTTGGACTATTCAAAAGTACTATCTTTTCAAACTTGTGTCGTTCTGTGTTCTAAGCTTACTGCAGCTTTTTAAGCTTTTTGTTAATGAAAAAGGAATGATTTGTTAAAACTATTTTAGAAGGTGCTTGTGCATTGCATAGTTTTTTAAGTTACATAATTTTATTTGCAGGGCATCCAAACATGGGTGGACCAATGCAGAGAATGACTCCTCCAAGAGGAATGGTTCCATTAGGACCACAGGTACCTTCCACAGATAGATACCCATATTTGTTGATAGGCCTATACTTATACTATATTACTCTGGCTTTCCATAGCTTGAAGATGGCCAGGACTTGTTCTTCTAATCTTATTTTAAAATAAACTTCCTGTTTTACAAAAATTAATTCTGAGTTGCAACTGTACAAAGTCTAAAAGGAAAACATCAGTCATTTTAATTAAGATTTGAAATTAAAAGAGGAATCCCTTAACGTGCTTATTTCAGAAAAGTTATGTTTGTCCTACATCCAGTGTATGTTGTAATCAATGGCTGACATTTGTAAAGGAGACCAAGGATCAAGTAGGTGTTTCCTCATCCCCCTAGCCTAATTGATTATGCTGTTTAGGAGGAAAGGTTTAATACTTCTAGCTTAGGCAAAGTCTTTGTACCAAAAATACCCCTCCACATTCTCTAAAGTTTTTCTTTCATCCACTATTGATCTAGATTTTTGGTGAGTGCTAGAGAGATTTTAGTGTAAAATGAGAAGTCACTGCTGCCATTTCTCCCCCTTGTCAATCACAAGCATCTCTCTAGCTCGGATTTCAAGGAGCAAAGTGACCTGGGATTGCAAGAATGAGCCTTCTCCATGGTGCTGACCTGGTCATAATTGTTCATAGCTTCTTTGTTCAAAAGTGTGAAAATATGAGTGTATATTTGTCAGTGTTACATTTCAACAGTAAATTAAGGTAGAAAACAAATTAATTCTGATGCATACCTGAAACATGAATCCGAAAGATTATTCTGTATTTTGTCAGCACGCTCAGTAAGAGAAAATTTAGGTGGTGGTGTTTCGTACTGGTGTTGCCAGTATTTTGTTTTACAGTGTGCTTGTTGTGCCCACACTTTGCATTTTTATTTCCCCATTTCAGATAATCTCTCTAGTGACTTCTTTGTTCCTTGGAATAGCAACTGAATTTTAAATGATTAAATAGCTTTGCCTTTCAAATCTGTTCATAACTGTCTTTACAATTTTGGGTCTTCTTGGTAGAAACCAGTTGTGCGGTTCTACGCAACATCTGCTGTGTGACCAACAAACTATTATTAAATACATCTGTTATTTTTTCTGAAGCATTGAAGTATATTTACCACTTGCCTTTTGGAGGTAGAAAGAGAAGCTTTGCAGTGCTGCCAGATGAGATGGAGCTAATACTTTGTGCAGCACCATTAGTCACACAGCAGGCAAATCTTGTGCCAGTTTTTATAAGGATAATTTTCCATTTTTGCTGCTTCTTAAAATCCAGTGGTTTTGTAAGGTTCTTCTTTCTTGTCCTGAACATCCTCTTAAAATGGGGAAGAATGTAGCTAATCTACACAAAATCTAAGTTTGCAAATCAGTCGTTTCTATAAATGGATCATCATCTATCTTTGTATCTGGCATTTAGGATCTTCCCAGAATGCAGTTCGAAAACGAAATTTGATTACTTTTTCACACCTACATTTAATGTCCTCTTGCTCCAGTGCTGTAAAGTTGACTTAGGTGGGCCTGTAGTGGGTGGCCCTGCTACCTTGCTGCACAGGCAGTCAATTTGCAAAACACTTAATGTGCTGACATAGAAATGCTTATGTCCAGTATAGCAAGTATAGCATGCATATGCTTGAAAACTTACAGATTACCTCAGTTTTGTATTTTATGATTCTAGACTGTTTCAAACTAAATAACATGAAGCAAAAAGCAGTGGATGGTTGTAAATACTTGAATCTGTGAAAAGCTCCAAAGAATTAGGTTCAGACTTTTTTCAAGCTGTAGTTAAGTTAGGTGAATGGGGTACTACCTCCAATCTGTGACCGCTACTTTTTCCTGTCCTTCATATCTGCTGGTGAGCCTCCCACATGCTCCCTAATGCTTTCTAGTCAAAAAGAATTGGGTCTTCTTAAATATTTAAGAAAAAAATCTTGGCTAATTGGCTCATTTTGGCCACCTGAAATTACGGAGCACTTTTGTGAACAGCTCAACTATGAGATAAACAGTGGTGGTGGTGACTTTGAGTAAAAAGCTGTAAGGAGCACATTGGAATGCTAACTTCTGCAGAGAGCATAGCTGCAGCTGAAGAAACGTGTATATTGGTAGCCTTTAGGGTGAAGGAGTACATTTGATTCTAACTGGCAGTAATTAGAAGTACATTTGATTAGGGTTCTTCTAGTTCTGCAGAATTCCACAGAGATCTTTAACCCTGGTCCACATAAATGATTCCTGAATTAAAATAAATACCAGACAGACCAAACAGGGGGAATGGATCAGCCCTCCACATCCAGACGGAAAAATAAAGAAAAACAGATACAGAACTGCTGTTTTGTTACAGTCAGACTGTGTTCTCTTCCAGATCCAGTAGTGCCAACTGGGGATGTTACTGTGCCCAGCTGCTTTGACTACCCACCAGTTACTGCCCTAGAGTTCTGACAGAGGAGTTGCTCAGGCAAAATCATCTAGGATAACCTAGGCTAAACAGAAGGTTTGAGTTAATCTGGCTGATTTTTGCCTGAGTGTGCACACCAATCGATCTACTGTCTGCACACAAAAAGTGGGAATGAGTAGTGATTGATGACCAGCAGCTATGGGTAATACTGTCTTCAGACGGCACTGCTGGGTCTGGAAGAGGACATCTGTTTGCAGCCTCTGGTTGTATTCTTGCAAACCAGCTATCAATGGGACACTTTCAGGATTGTTAACAATGAAGAAAATTTTAAGTTTGGAGTTTTTGTTTGCAGCAAAAGAACCTCCTCTCCTAATTATAGATCAGTTATATATCTTCTAGATAACTGATATGTCATATCGGCCAAGGTATAAACAGCACCAGACCCACACTTTGAATATCACTGTTGGATTTCTTCCATTCCTGACTTCATGTTTACATGGTTTTGTGAATCAGACGAATATACAGAACACCCATAAGCCCAAGCCATATAGTTTATGTAGTTTGCAGTATGTTATACATGAAACAGAGTGTATTGGTTTTATTACTGGAAAATAGACTGCAACAATGACCTGATTTTTTTAAAAGTAAATCACTTCTTTGTCCCCCTCTCTTTCCAAAATGCATAGCTGTTCATTTTAGAGAATTTACTATTATCCATGCTTTTGAAATATCAGAAAAATGTAGCAGGATTAAATAGGGAGTGCACTATGATTGTGAGGTGAGACAGACTGTTCTGCTCATATGCCTCTGAATGAAAATAGGTATAATTTAGTTTTTCATGAAAATAGTACAGTTAAACTTTTGTCATAATATCAGAACATGAACTCAGGTTTTGTGGGCATTGGGCACGCATCACTGTGACATTCGTTATCATATTAAACACTTTTCATGTTAGTTACTATGGATTTATTAGAATTGACTGATTAGAAGAGAAATGTAATGGTTATACTGTGTTTTAAAAGTGATACCGTATGGTGTAATTTTATGCAAGCATTTACTGATATCCTAACAAAATCTAATTTAAAATAGTTCTATTTAAATTCCATGATGTAGAAATCTTAGAATCTAAATCCAGGTTTCTGATTTTGAATGAGCTCCCTTGGTATAAAAGTTGATTACATTATAAAACCTGCCGCTTGCTGGCCGTTGACTTGACCTCTATATGTGTAAATAATTCCTCCTGAAACAATTGACGTTTTAAGTATTCTTAGTCTATTTCTATTGTTTGTAATTCTTTCTCCTTGGGGTTAACAATATTATTTTTTTAAGTCAACAATGGAAACTCCTGAAAGAATGAATTACATTGGCCTGTCCAGTCAGCAGTTATGTAGGGATATCATTAACCCGCTGTCCTTTCTTTCCCCCTCCTCTTTGGTTTTGTTTTTTTGTTTTGTGGTAGTCTGACCCTTGGTTATCATTGCAGAACTATGGAGGTGCAATGAGACCACCGCTGAATGCTTTAGGTGGCCCGGGGATGCCTGGAATGAACATGTAAGCACAATAATAAAATCTTATAATATTTAGAAAAATCATTATTTCATTGCAGAAGTAACATTTGGGATACAAAAGACAAGGAAAACATGCTTTGATAAGTAACATGCTTTGATGACTAATAACTGCAATTTAAAAAAGTGAAACCACAGCAGTTTCCTTCTGCATGCATCTCTTACAGGCACCTTTGCTGTCCCTACAAATCTGTACAAATACTCAGTTTCTTTCACAGGTCAGAGTTCAAATATTGGGAATATTTTGTCAGTATAGTCACCCCTATATCCGTGTATGCATTTTGTAAAAAAAAATGACATTATTCACATTTATGTTTTTACTTTACTGAGTAAATATTTTGTAAAGAATGGTACAAGTATGGTTCTTTTCTGTGAAATAAAGTAGTACTTAGTTTTAGCAAAGTAAAACCAGTGTCTAGAACTACTTATAAAAACCACATATTTGAAAGAAGAAATGTGGATGATTCTCTCTCTGTTGCTGTTTTTACCTCCATAACTGCATTTATTTCCAGGCTAAACAGATAGAAGAGTATTACAGATATGATTGTAAGGTTTTCAGTGTTTATGTGTACTTCTGGGACTGGATCATCATTTGGTAAAAGTTGATATAGACTGAGTTCAGTTAAGCTATACTGCTTTATTCCAGGCATGGATTTAGTCATGGGAATATATTATGCCTTCTAAACCTGTAGACAACCCCCTTTTCTAAGTGTGTGGAATAATTTCAGATGTGAAGTCAGTATATCCAGAGTAGACTAGATTTAAGCTGAAGATTTTAGCATGGCAAGTGGCCCAACATGAGCAATCTTCTGCAGCTTAGATAAATCTCTTGCTTGCTTTGAGTTGCTTACATGATTAGCAAGCCTGGAAAAAAAACCAAGGTGCTCCTTATATTATTTAGATTTCTCTCTTAAGAGATTCACAAATTTTAAGGGGATGCTATAGTTACCTTTAGCATACCACAGACCAGAGATTATCACGTCATTCTTGTATCATGACCCTACCTCCGCTGAAGTTAGTACGTTTTTTTCATAACGATTTTCATAAGCATTTTGCAGACCCTGGGGTGGTCACAGAAGGCAACACTAGAATGATTTTACAACCCAAAGAAGAGAACATGCTCTTTTCTTACTGCTTTTACGCCTTTGTCTTTCAAGAATGAGTTGTCAACAGATTGACACAGAAAACACAGTGAAGATTTATATACGCTTGTTATCATTATATCATGGAGACCCATTTTTACTCTTATTTTTATAGGAAACATAAGTGAGAGATGATAATTTCATTTCAAGTAAAGAGTTACCAACCTGAAAAAGTAGAAGAGGTACTGAGATAGATAATACTGTTAAAAAAAAATCTAATCCACCATATCCTTAATTTCTTCTGATTTCCAGACATACCTTGAATTCTTGAAGCAAATAAAATAAAATCTAAAGTTGGGTGTTACTCTATCATAGACATCATATATTGGACTCAAGACAATTCTAGGAACCTTCCCAAGGGTAGGCATTTCTTCTTTTAAATAAAATTGATGTAGAAAAAATATTTAGATATTTGAAATTTGGTGTGAGTATAACATAAGCACTACTGAGTTTTTCCTCAGGAGGAGATTGAATTACAAGAAAAGAAAATTAACTTTCTAAAATAAAATGATGTAGAAGTAAAATTGAGGATTGATAAGGTATTTTGAGGCTACTTATCCACATAAATGAGAGTTTACATAGGTAAAATAAGAAAACAGGTTCCTGGGTGACAAAAAGAATTCCTGGTCTGCCAGAAAGAGAGAAAATGGGTTGAAATACTAACATTTCCATATTGCAGCATTTAATAAACACATTTCATCTTGCGTTGGGCCAGTAAACATAAATAGATCATGTTCTTTTAATTCGGTGATGTGGGAAGTACATTTTCCTTTGAACTTTTATGTTGTCTTGAAGGGGACTCTATGAATTGGAGTCCTTTACTTGGGAAATTCATGAACTTTGATACAGTATATGATCCTCTGAGAAGAACAAGACGTGAAGGAGTCATTATGAAGTAGGTAACCATAGCTGTCTCCATGTCTTACCAGGCATATACTGCACTCCTTTACATTTCTTACAAACTTATCTTTACTCCAGCTCAGCTGAAAATGGGAACAGAGTACTCTTTCTTGGTTTTGAACAAGACTTCATACTGTCCCTTTGCTTACCACAATGCACTTTAAAGGCCTAAGAGGGTCCAAAGTGCTAGTGCTGGAATATTATGCTATAGCGTATCCTGACCTGTGTTACATGCTGAATCACAGACTGTTGTAAGAAGCTCCATTATTGCATGCCTGACTACATGAGTAAGTTTTTTTATTGTCAAACCAAGTATTTTTTTTCCTCTGTCAAATGGAGTGACATATACTGATCAAAAGGAAAACAAAGGGGTTACTATGGGCTGAGTTTCTTTTAATTGTATTTCCAGCACGTCAGGTTTTTTTCTTACTGTAGAGTAACTGCTGTCAAAGTTGTCCTTACACTGAAATCTTAGTGAAGACTTGTTGTCTTGTCAGTTCCAGCATACAGGATCCATCATAGTGCATCCAATGATAACCTGCAGGAAATGGCCATAGATGGACCCAGCTGTTAAATACATTCTTTGTGTTGTCCCTTACAATTTATCTAATACACAGTGCTAAGAGGTAACAGTGTTAGTCATTTAGTATACATTTCCAGAAAACAGGATAAATATACTTAAGGCTGTTGCCTTATAGTAACATACATTTGTCTTTACATAGCCATACCTTTTTCTTACATGACATTTTTTCAGTGTTCTATTCAATGTTTTTGGATTTTTGGCAATGTTAAAATACAACAATGTGTACTCTACAAAAACAGTTGACATTTAAAATTCAGCTTTCTCTCCTTGGAAAGCACAAAAGGAAGCTGTTTTGGTTAAGAGCAGAATATCTGCCAAATACAATTTTACATTTTTTCTGGATGAAAAAGTGTTCTTTATTGTCAGAAATGGCAACAACCAGTTTGAGAGCTCATAGACAGTATTTCAGTCCAGGAGCATATACTCCACAAATGCTGTACTGCTAAGTAATTGCTTGCTCTGTCATAACTAATGCCTATCAGATGACTGTTTGAAACAGTTGATATATGTCCTATGATCTTCTACAAAATAACTTTATTTTAGCTGTAAGGTTTTAAGTTGGAACTTAGCGTAGCCATTTTTAGTAAGATTTTGTTTCTTTGTGGAAAAATCCCCTCTTTGGAACAAAATGGCACATTTCAGGGGGCAGCGCTACATTTCACTGGCACTGGCCCCTGTGACCTGCAGTGCTGCCTCAAGCTCTAAGAATAACTCAGTCATGCCTGAAAAGAAAAAAAATGTGATTTTGTTTTTTAACTTCAATTCAGAACTTCTGTCTAGATGTTTAATTTCCTGATTGAATATATTTGGCCCTTGGGAATCTGAAATTTCAGACTTCATTTTTTAAGTACTAGGATCAATACTATAGGACTAACTGCAAGGATAAAATGCAGCTGTAATTAGTCATAGAGATAGACTTCATAAATTACTCTGTGTTGGAACTGGTACATTCATAATAATGTTTTATGATTCTGTTGATGCTTCCAAAATAAACATTTAATAAAAGGCAAAATACTTGCTTGCATTGCATTGAAAAAAGTGGCAGGTGGCTTTTTTTTAGGTGTGTTTTATAAGCTAACAGCATTTGGCTCCACAAAAACCATATGGCTTTCCTGCAGAATCTGCTACAGTATTTTCTAAGTCTATACTTAGAGGTGTCCATGGATTCCAGTAAATTTGCAAATTCCAACAGCTTTTTAGACGAAAGGTGTGTTTCCCAGGGTCCTCATAAGGCATGTCTAAATTTCCATGTTGCTGTTGCTGAACCCCGTCGTGTATCTGAGTTGGTTTTTTAGTGTCTCTGTAGTTCAAAGTAATCTGCAGTATCATCACAGCTGTTTTCCATTTGATGCTTTTTGCTAGATGTATTTGTGTTACTTAATGTCACATAAACAAGTGCAGGGTTTTGGGGTGAAAACAGACTTCCATTGCTTCTACAAAAATTCTCTGAAAAAGACAATCCAATAAACCAGATACGGTACATAGAAAAAAGAACAACTTTTTGGAAAAAAAGAAAAAAAGAACACCTAATATTTCGCCTTGTAATCATTAGCAGAGGAGAAATTGCTGAATATTTGACCTGAGTAGCATGAGTACTGTGAGTCTCTTTCCTTCCTTGGCCTCCCCTCTTCCCAATGAATAAGGCAGAAAAGACCATCACCTACATTCCTTTTTTCCAAAAATGATGTCAGCAGAAATAAATCAATTTTCACTTGATTTATTTCAGTTGATTGTTTGAGATGATAATTTCTTTATAGTTTCATCAACAATGTAATAAAAAGAATAAGATTCAATATTAAATCCCTCAGGCAACATATCTACTTAATAGTTTTTAGTTTTGCAAGACTTTAAAATAGATAGAAAACTTCCTGAATTTGTTAATAAAGCCTGCTTTCTTCTCTATATTTAAATCACTCTCCCATGTCTACTAAGCTGTGGTGGCTAATGTTGCTTTTCTAAAGTTAATGAGGCCAAAATGCCATTTTAAATGTGAAACTTTTGTCATCTGCTCTGCCTCTCAGTTGTCAGGGCCTTCAAAAAGTGATTTCGTCTTATTTATAAATAACTAGGAGTTCTTAATGCTCCTAGGAATAATTATGTTTATTGAGACGTTATGACTGTAAACATGGAGATTTTACCTCCCATATGGCTTAGTTCCCTCAGGACTGTTAAAAGACGAAGCCTGACCACCAGACTATTTTTGTGAGCTCAGCTACGAGTGAGAAGCTTAAAATAACAGCAGTGGTTGTGAGGAAAACTTGCTTTATCTGGATAGTTTTTCCTTTTTTCCTTTTCCCCCATTCCCTTCTGCTTTTGGTACCCCTCTGATGTCTGGTCGGAGTTGGGTTTATCACACAGGTCTTCTGCCTGTGAAACACTTGTCACTCCTGCTGGGGAGCTGCCACTTAATCATGCGTACACCATTTGGGCCAAGTGTAACAAGAATGACTGAAAAGTTTGGAATTTCCATTTTGCGTACTGTATGATAAATTTCATGTTTCGGTGACTTCCGTGGAGATAACGTAGCCTTAGTCAAGTAGCAGACTGGTTTTTACTCTTTGCAAAACTTCTGTGCCACATTAAAATGTTGCATCTATGTAACACAGAGTTAAATTCTTCGTGAACAAAACGAAAGCACTTCAAGAGGCACAAATTTTCATGTGTCTTTCAAAATGTTCCATTGAGAATATAAAAGGGGAATGTCTGGCACTTCCTAAATTTCCAAGTCCTTAGGACCGATGCATCTCCACTGCAGCCTCTGACAGTGCAGCTACTGGGAAGGACTCCTACCACTCTGGCAGGTCATGTCCTGAAGAGTACAGAAGTACCAGAATGAGTCAGGAACTGAAGTGTCTTAAATGTGAGTGGCAGGGTTGTAATAATGAGGAAACAATCTTTAATCAACTCGTAAACTGATTAAATAATAATGGTAGCGCAACAATGAGAATTTTGCTATAACATTATAACTGGATGTAGTTATGGTTTATAAACACGTTTTAATTTGAAAAGAGCCATCTCCTTCCTTACTCTGGAACCAGGTTATTTTGATTTGCTTCCTCAGAGCTGGTCAGAATACAGGGATTGTTCTGTGTCTCATCTTTGATCTTCTGTTACAGGGGTCCTGGGGGTGGTAGACCTTGGCCAAACCCAACCAATGCCAATTCTGTAAGTAAATATTTAAAATATACTGGGCATCATCTTATATTTAGGGAAGTATTTCTCATCAATGCACCAGGAAAAAAATTCCGCTTCATTCAACAAATAGAATACTACATGCTTTATCGTCTTCCCCATAACCCTGATGCAGAGCAGGTATAGCGAGGAGCACATCTGAACAGAGAGCTCGTTGACCTGCAAATATCCAGCTTTGCATCTTAAGATCAGTTGCAGCACTTCCATAACACAAAGGTTATCCTGGGGTATACAAAAATACACTTTAGCGTCCTTTAGTGCTAGTAAGATGAGTTAGGTCAACACTATCCAACCAGCAAGCTCTACAGAAATCACAGGTTGATAGGATACAGCTTAATGTGCGCTTACGTATTTTACATAACCAAAGCACATTTGCTGCTTTTAACTAGGGAATATGGAATCACAGAGCAATTGCTTGCAAGACATCAGCCATTTTTATACGCTTTTTGTGAAAAGCAGTGCACTCTTGAATTTCATTGCAACAACTACAAAATGAGGTAGTCTTGAAGGAAGAGGAGGACAGTGAGGCATCCCACATTAACAACAGTGTCTGGTATTTCTTCAGAAAACAGAAAGGTAAAGATTTCATTTTCATTCAGTGATTATACATCATTAGTATAAAAATGTATCCCTTTTTAACACTTGCAGTTGGATAAGATGGGTCTGTCTTAGCAGACTAGCCTGGTTCTTTCTGTTGTTACCAATTTTGATTTGTAATTCTACTAATGACAATTGGGTAAAAAAAAAGAGCTGAAATTCTTCCTCAGTTTTCTTTTGCATGTACTCAACTAAGATGGATGTTAGGATATTTCTCAACTTATAGATGAAATATTTTCATTCTATGAAATTAATCAAGAAGTCCAGTAATAGATGTATTTGTAAAAATGCGTTGGCTGACAAGTCGTCTACAGTCATTTAAGATGCTTATACTACAAAATAATTCTGTATTTTGTCAGTACAGTTGCTTGGTTCTTACCCCATCCTCCTATAATAACATTTGTCCATGCTCCTTTAGAGAGAGTAATTGCATAGGCTGTCATAAAGAAGAAAACTGGATTATTCACAGGCAACTGGATTTCTTTTTCTATCTTCTGTAAGAAATACCACAATTGAATTTGAAATTAAAATAGAACACTGTCCTTCTGAAAAAAAAAATAATGCAAAGAAGTAAAATTAGTATCTTCTAGGGTGAAAGATATAAGAGAGTTGGTTTTCCTTTTATGGTCAAGATTTTAATCAAGATTGAATATATATAAGAACAATACAAATTCAATCCATGGTTGGAATGACTCTGCAGCCCTATGGACTTAAATGCAAGTATATGCTGCTTAAGTTTATAAATGTTATAAAGCATATTACCTTAATAATCTTATACCTTAAAATTTTACTATAGACTGCAGATCTTTATAAACCTTATAGTGGCTCCCGCAGTAAGAATAACAAGACTGTTACGGTAGATGCAAGAACTGGATTGATACAAGACCTTGTAACTTGGTATCTTAAAAAAATGATGCTGGCTGGTAAAAATGCATGCCCCACATTATGAAACAACAAAGAGCAGATATCACACCTCAGCTTGTAGACATTTAAATGTGTGAATTATGTTATTCATATTAAGTTCATTAGACTGGCTACCAGGGCACAGTAGTCTTAAGTAGAAATATTTTTATTTGAAGTACTGTGTACTAAATTTGGTATGTGTCTATATTGCTAGTTTTGGACTTGAACTTACAATGACAGGTTGTTGGAAAGAAGAGGTGTTTGTTTTAACAACAATAGCACTTTTCCATAGTCCTTAACTGTGTCTTTGAAATAAATGAAACAACTAAGTGTTAACCTACAGCTGTACATGAATGTGTGTATGGACTCCATCTCAATTCAGAAGGAATTATGGTTTTGTTTCTGTTGATATTACAGATACCTTATTCTTCAGCATCTCCTGGGAACTATGTAGTAAGTACACTTGTGTGTGTTTGCTTGTTAGAATAGATGTTACATTTTATTTAGGCGAAGAAATAGCTGTCCAGATGTTAAGAAGAACCCTTGTGTATTGGTGGAGAACTGAACATCTAATCTGCACGTAGGCTTTTTTTCTGCCATCTATGGTGCATATGTTGATGTTCATTACTAGAATCATTATCAGTCTGGTCAAAATTGCCCTGAGTGCTGTTTTATTTCAGCACACATTTATATAACCAATACAATATATTGTCTTCAATAATAAAGGACAAAAACCTCCCAGCTTTCTCAGTAACACGGTATTGTGTATGAGTTTCTGAACTTGTTCAGAAAAAAAAAGCATTTGAAGAATTAGAACAAGCTTTTGTCTCTGTGGGTCCTTATAGCTAACATTTTAAGGGAAATTTTTATTCCTATAATTACCTTCCGAAGACTTGAAAATTCTTTTTTTCTCTGTAGTCTGTTATGTCTTTATTTCACATAAGTTGTCTTAATTTTTTATGGGTTAATTAGTATCATTGTTTTCTTAGTCTGTACTTTAGAATGAAGTAGTTAAAACTTTGTGATAGGCCCAGTTTTGAGCTGTCATTCAAAAGAACACAAAATACTAACCCTGTCTTTGGAATTTAAAAAATACACTTTACCTATCAACAAAATCTTTTTCGTTGGAGTGTATACTGCTGGTTTTTTTCTCTGTCCCAAAAGATTAACTTTGTTTATCTTTTTAGGATCTTTATTGTTGTTGTTACTGTTGTACTTGGATTATTTGTACTTCTGATGTACTCTTCTAAGGCATACTATTTCACCTATTTTTATCAAATGCTTAGTACTGTGTCACAGGGTAACAAGGGAGAATTATTTTTATATATATATATATATGTATACGTGTGTGTTGGATTAAATTTCTGTTGGTTGGTCAGGTTTCAGTAGACCTCTCTTTTGATATTTCATGTTTCATGTTTTATCACCTAAAGATTAGAGAACTGCAGGGCATTGGCTTTAACCAGCATAAAGCCTCAAGCTATTTCAGAATGTGGAAATAGCAGATCCTTCACTATGAGAACAATATGCAAGTGTTTTTTCATCTGTATGTGCTGCTTATAGGTTTCTCTTTCAGTCTCTGTAAGAGAGGTGATCCTGCAGAGGTAAAGCTGAAGGATGAGTTCAAGGATAACCTTGTTTTGTTTAGACAAGAGAAATTTCTTTTGTCCTTTATTTAGACAATTAGCTGTGAAAAAGTTTATGATTCTCATAAGTGTCCATAACTGTAGTACTCATTTTGCCACATGTTTAGTGGAAACAGTCCAAATCTGCTGATCTCCAAACCAGTTCCTTTAGTGCAGAACTTCATAAATCTCTCTCTATTGGGAAGAGGTTTTGTTGGTTTTGCCCTTGACATTAGTGATCAGTTACTGTTGAGGATTTTGAAGATATTTTTTGAATATTTAATTCCATATCCTCATTTTTTAAAAGTATGAACTGCTGAGAAACTATAAAAGGAGATGCTATAGAAAATCATTTTAAAGAAGCAAACCTAAGTAAAATGCATGTTGTAGTAGCGAACTCTATTGGTGTACTCACATCAAGCTCAAGGTCAGCCAGGATAAATGATGAACAAAAGAGGGCATCACCATATTTCAGTGTGCAGATAGAGGAGGAGTAAGAGTAAAGAGGTGATTTTACCTCTTTCAGTGACAATGATGGGACTGATGCTGGAATTTTGCATTTAATTGGCAACAGTGAGGGGAAATCAAAAGATAGGCAAAGATACAAGAATGACACACACAAAAGATCGAAGTATTGGAGAAGATGCCTGAGCCTCTCATCAGATGTGCTCTGTGAACTCCAGCTGTGCAAGTGGGAAAGGTTGCTGCCTGACCCCTTGTCCCCACTCTTCTGCTGAAGGTTACCATTCCTTCAGGTCTGTCACTGGAGTTCCTTGGATGAGTGACCCTCTTCGTCCCAAACAACTGAAGTTGATTGAAGCATTTAAAGAACCAGGTACTTGCTGAAGCAATTTAGTTCACCCAAAATAGAAGGAGGGACACTCGCAGAGGGAGCTTCAAGCAGACCTGAGGCTGCCACTAGCAGAGGATAGTGGTAAAGCAGCTGAGGTGGACCAAGGGTTGAAATCTTCTGCCAGCATAAATGCTTGCACAGTGCATGTCTTGTCTGATGCTGAAAAAGTAGTTTTGCTTCAGAAAGGCTCACCACATTTTGGAAAAGGAACACAAGAACTTCAGCCATACAAACAGCTAAATAAGCAAAACTGGGGGACAGTAGCCTCCAAGAGAGCAAGGATTTGGGGACAAGGTGTGGGCTGAAGAGGTCTTAAAGCAGCTTTTTAGCCAAAGGATTTGTGATCTGGAGCTACATGCTTTGAGAGTTTAATCTGATTGGTTTATCAGACAGTTTTTGAGAAATAATTCCATTACATATTCATATATTCTCAGGGTGAAAATAGTTGATACCAAGAGACTTTCTAAGAGAAGAAAATATACAGTGAGAGTAAGTGCAAATTTAAAATTAGATGCAAAAGTTAGTAGTGAAGATAAGTAACTGTTCTAATAAATGACAGTTAGTGGTTTGTTCACCTCTTTATGTGATTCTGAAAAATATATATAAACCTAAAAAAAATCTAGTTAGTGAGCTTAGTGCACAAGTACATGCATAAAAAGTCATAGCCTGTGATGCCTAGAGGGTCATATATGTGATCCAAAGGTCCCTTTGAATTTGGAGTCTGTAGCTCTGCAGCAGCAATGGGGGGATTTCTCATTGCTGAGGGCTGAATAGGGCTTTTGGACAGTTTGGCAAGCCCCATCCTAGCACATTCATTTCTGATTCAATTGGCAATTTCAGAGAGGAAAAAAGCTATGATGTGGCTGTTGGCAGTATCAAATGAAGTTGTGATTACGCCTTGATTTTTATAAGCTGATCTGTAGGTTTCGTGGTGGAGCAAGCCTTTGTTCTAGCATGCTTTATAAAAGATGTGACCTTGCTTAGTTCACAACCAAGGGGAAGCACAAGATAAAGAACTGGTAGGTGTGGTTGCATATAAGGGCATAGAGGCATATATATGTTGACTGACTGCAGGGATCTGCTGCTGCTGCTGGGTAAAAGATTTCTGTTTCATCTACAATTAACTGTGAGATGATCACTGGCTGGCAGACAGAGATGCTTCACCCTGCAAGTATGTTAGTTGTATAAACCTGCAGAGGAGCAGTATCAATCAGAAAACTGATACGTTACTGAGTTTGATTGTCTGAAAATAGTGTTTGCTAGTATATTATTGCTAAATGTTTTGTAAGAAATGTTATTTTAAGTAGGCCATTGAGAAAGAGT